TCTGGGAGGGCTGGCATCAATCTTGCAAGTCTGAAAGGACAAATCTCCCTCCCTCCCTCCCTATTTACTGCCTGAGAAACTAGGGAGGGTCCCTTCTGAGTTTCTTTCTCTGGCCGTTACTCTGTTGCGGACGCCCTTCTCTTTTCTCCAATCGTTCCCCAGGCAGCATCTCTTCCCTCCGTCTTCCAAGGCCACCCTCACATTCCATCACATCTCTTGAGTCTGGTGTAAGGAAAAAAACGGCTGAACCAAAATGACAGTATAGAATCCATTGTGAGCCACAGGTTTTTGCCAGCTAAAAACTTAAATAAAGAGTGAGTAGACCTTAGTCTCTAGTCCCCCCAAGGCCTGAAGTCCTGGGAGTGCTGGCTGGGGAATTCTGGGAGTTGAAGTCCACACATCTTAAAGTTGCCAAGGTTGAGAAACAAAACGGCTGAACCAAAATGACAGTATAGAATCCATTGTGAGCCACAGGTTTTTGCCAGCTAAAAACTTAAATAAAGAGTGAGTAGACCTTAGTCTCTAGTCCCCCCAAGGCCTGAAGTCCTGGGAGTGCTGGCTGGGGAATTCTGGGAGTTGAAGTCCACACATCTTAAAGTTGCCAAGGTTGAGAAACATCGGTCTAGAAAATGAAGATTGCAGAGGTTCATTGAGAAGGAAAGAATCTTGAATGTCATCTTGTCCAACGTCCCCAGTCAACATTGAACTGTCACAGCAGGACTACGCAGTTACACAAATATCTTTGAAAGATGTCCAGCCAGCTTCTGGCTGTGGAAGGCACCCTTTTCCTAAGCCGGTTTTCTGCACTGCTGATCTGCCTTAACGTTTTTCTGAATGTTTCGCTGTGGCCTGCCAAAAAGACCACATGACAGCCCACTGTGTTTTGCCAACCCGGTTGTGCTCTGATCTGGTGTAACGCAGCCTCTGAATGATTAGGGAAACACAGGTTCTTTTGAGACTTACAGATCCATAACATAGAGAAAGGAGGAGAAGGGGAAGAGGAAGAGGGTAAAGAAGGAGCAAAAATTCAGGCAAAGCAGGAAGTCAGCCGGGGACCTGTCCTGAATGCTTAGCATCTGTAACTCCTCACCTAATTCCACCCGTGTCTGCAAATGATCAGTTCAGATTTCTATTAAGAGAGCTTCCTTCTTCTGTTGGTACACGGGGACAAAGGTCACCCAATCATCATGTGCCTGGTTGTGGGAATACAGCCAACTGCGCCTTGTATTTCTTAGGTTTAGTGTGCTGTGCAAACCCAGCTAATTGAGTTATCACAAACCATGTTTAAGCAAACGAGATCCATGCAACGATGTGAACCTGGTCCCACTTTGGTAAAGCAGCTACCCTCTTGTGGACTTTGACAATAATCTTATTCTGTATGGGAGTTTCTCTCCCCCCTCCCCCCCATTTCATAGTCTTATGCCCCTTTAGGAAAGTGAAATTGAGATGGTCATATTTGGAGTTTGGGCAACAGGTGTGAACCAAAGGAGGTTTTTGAAGAATCGCCACCTTTCGAAGGATTAAGACAATAAGGCTTCGATATCCAAACACATTAGCACCATCTGTTATGTTTGAATGTGGCATGAAAGGGACGTGATTGTGGAGAGTGGGGTCTCTGAGAGACTGGGCTACTTAAGCCTTGGCAAGGATATGTGCATTTTTGCAATGCCTGCACTACAGAAGTTGTTATGGCCCACCCCACACATCACACTCAGCCGTAACATGCCCGTATGAAGCCAGCAGCTTGTGGCTGGTAATCCAAAGATTGTGGCGTAGTGCCTTGCGTGTAAGCCCAGCCTGTTTTGGTTAGTTCAACAAGTCAGGGTTTAAACATGACTTAGCAAAATATGTAAAGCTAGTTATGTTTGTCTGTTGCCTTATAACACAAAATGGTGTGTGCTAATAGGATCTTTCCCTGTAGCATTGCTAGAACCGGGAAATAAATGTTTTTCCCGTGATGAAAAAGTTACGCAAATCAATAGCAATGACATGAAAATGGTCTTGATATACAAGAGGGCTTAGTTTTGTTCAGAAATGTATAACCTGAGATTGCAAGTTGGATTAATCTTTTTTACTTAAACAGAGTCAAAGGGGATAGAAGCTTTTGTGTGCTTTTGCTACAAACAAGATTTGGACTCCCTTTTGAGCTGGTAAGTCTCTGGAAGCAGTGTCTGTGATAGCAGGTTGGCAAAGGTAGACTGTTCCTAAACAGAGAGGCTCTCTGAAATTTCGGTCGTTGGAAAGCCTCCGTGGATGCTTTTTTTTTTTTTTTTTTTTTTTTACATCTTTCTAGGGCTGAGCTGGTTTCTGAAATCCTAGTTCCTTTTAACTGATTAAGCTTCGTGGTCGCAGAGCGGTGCGATTTTTATATGCATCTAAATCCTATTAATTTGCTGTTCCTTTTTAATGCACAGCATTAAAGTAAGCAAGCTTATTTTTTATGAACTTGATCGAAGTGTAATTTCATAATTATTAATTACATAAAAATTTGCCTGGAGCTTAGGAAGCATTATACAACACACCGGTATCGCCCCGCTCCCTCCTGCTAATAACCTCCAGCGAGGTCAACCCAGCGCCTTTGACAATCCCGTGTCCTTCCGCGCGACCCATAGTAAACAATAGGGGAGGGGCTGGACAGTGGGCGGAACTGCTGCTTCCTCGCCTTGTGGTTGGCAGTCAACCTCCGTTGATGGGCGGGAGTAGTCTGTACTAGAACCATGGGCGTACTTGTTTCAGCGGAGAACGCTGATTGGCCCGGGAAGCTATCAGTCTGCAGAAGTCATACCCTGATTGGGGGCATAGGCGAAGACTCAAGACCTGATTGCTCGTTGCGGTTGCGCCCGCCCATATGCGTACGTGATAGCGCAGAGGTCAGTGGTTTGACTCTCCAAATCATGAACGTGATGAAGGCTTAAGGCCTGCTCTGTCTTTCCTTCTTAATCGCACTTTTTCTGATCGCTTCCCTCTGCGCCGATCCTACTTAGTTGCTCCTACCACACAATCCCTTACTTGTCCTCAAGCTTCACCTTCTCCGTCAGCATCCAATCATTAGCCAGGCCGATCTCTCTGCCCTCTTTGATTGGTTTTGACGCATGTCTATCATCTTATTGTCGTGTAACCGACTCCTCGCCCAACCGACTTTCCCTTTTATCCCCGCCCTCTCGAATCCCCGCGTGTTCTCAAATTCTGAATGGGCAGTCTTTGTGTCCTTCCAACGGGCTCGAGCCAATGGTTAACTCCAGGATCCTCGCGCTCGTCCGCTATTGGCTGCCGCCTTGTGGCTCGCCCCTTTCGTCCTCTTGAAGGGCTAAGTGCCTCAGGCGGACGGAGCGTGCTCAGTTGGGGCGGCGGGGTCGTGCGGTCTGCGGGGCTTCGGCGGCGGAGAGGTCATGGCGGTCTGGATGGTGCTACTAACGCTGGGCTCCTTGCTCTGCGCCATTGGAGGGGCCTCAGCGGCAGGTACGGGAGAAAAAAAGCCGGTCTGAGGGGGTTCCGCGACGATTTCTCTGCTCGGCGTACTTGGGGGGGGAGCATTTTTTGTTCTCACTTCAGTCCTGAGAGGGAAAAATGGGGGGCGGGGGTCTTTAATAAAGTGGGTCGAGTCAGGAAGCCCATTTCGCTCGTTGGTCGCTGTTGGAGAGAAAGGTAGAAGAACCCCCTCGTATGTTATTGCAGGAAGGAAAATGTCCCCCCTCAAGTTAATGAGGGGACGGGGACTCCCCTTGTACATTATTCGAGGGAAGGAAAATGCCCCTTGCATGTTAATGAGGGGAAGGCGAGCGTCCCTCGTACATTAATGGGGGGGGGGGGGGGGGGAAAAGCTCCCTGAAGGGCTGGAGGGGTCATTGCCCCGTTATACACTAATAGGGGAGGAGGTCCCCTGGTGTTGGTGGGAAAAGTCGGGGAAGTCCCCTCATTCCTTCAAGAAGGGAGGAGGAAGCCATGTTGTGTATTAATGGGGAAGGGGCCGAATCCCCCTCCTCTATTAATGGGGAGGGGAGAAGTGCGAGGGTAACCCAAGCTGACATATAGTCTGTTTTCAGGCAGCACCCCAAGCTGAAATAGAGTTGTGTAGTTGCTTCAGCGTATTGTGGGAATCAGTCAAGTGTGTTAGGCTGTATTGTTGTTTATTTTGGGTGGCCCGTAAATTTTGGTCTAAACCTAGCTGTATTGTGGGAAGAGGTGTTGGAAAGAGCAGTGAGAGAGATTGGCCCTATGCTAGGGGGCAAGAGGCTTAGCGTCTCACGTCCTTTTTCTATAGAAAGAATAGCTGAGAAGCTGATACACAGGAGAGAATACTTGCTTGTATGGGGAGGTGGGAATGCTGAAAGGGAGGGGAAGAAGTTGAAATGGGTGAGTGGTCTTCCATGCATAGAAGATATATTCATAATACCGGATGGGAGAGGCTGGAGAATACAGATGCTGTGGTTTAAACTGGACTACTAAGAAAATTTCCCTGCTCTTTTATTACAACTTTCTTGCTTTTCTGTTTGATATTTGTCTGATTGGCTTAAATATTAAGAAGGTATATGTATTTTTAAAAAGAAGTTATGAAATCGAGGGAGGGTTTTTAAGAAAATCTACTTTTTTAATTTGAGTTCAATTACTTTCCAGACTCTTTTCAATAATGTATCGTAAAGAGATTTTTCCCAACAGCCTCCCAGTCATAAATAAAATATTATAAAATGTTTGTCAGAATTACCTGTGAAGAAAAATGAACCAAAAATACTGTCCAATAATTATGAGTAACGAAGTATCTTAAGAATTAATTGAAAAACTGAAATGAATTTCAGAACATGATTAATTACTGTGCCTGTAAAACAAAGACAGGATAAGGACTTTTATTATGAGCCCAGTATCTATGGGGTTCGAGCTTCATAGGGTATAGTAGTGTGAAGCTTCATGGAGGAATATGAGGAGAGATACCCCAAATCAAGTTTAAATCTGAGAGAATAGTGGCTGTGTTGGCACAACATACCCTCTTCTAAACGGTTGCTGCGTTTAGTTTAAAGAGATATGTAAACCAAAGAATGATATGTTTGTGGTTCAATGAATTGTATGAACCTCCAACATTGGGCTAATTCTGTAAATCATGAGTAATTGGCTTATGCAAATAGATGTAGTGAAGTGCTGGGAAGAAGTGTGTTTTTCCCCTAGAAGAAGGAGGGGAATAGAGGAGGATGACAATAATGGTAAGGGTAAGTGTATCTCTTTTTTAGATCTTTAAAAGAAAACAGTAATGGGAAGAGACAAGTTTAGATGGCTTTGTGAAAAGGGATGAGGTTTGTGTCTCATACATCTTATTGGGGCTCAAGTTTTTTCTTCCTGGGGCAGTAAGCTCATTCACGATGAAAATGTCCCCTTAATGTGAATCATGACTAACTTTTCATTTTAATGTAAAACTGCTTTGATCCTTTTCTCCCCTTTTGTCTCCCAATGTAGAATTTATTTTCCCTCCCACCCTCCAAATAGTTTAATTACTAGGTAGGATGATTTCATCAGATTGTATAAAGAATGAACAACAGTAAAAAGCAAAATAAACTCTTCAAACGTCTTCTTTATATACTTGTGTAGGCTTTCACGGCTGATATGTGTTGGGCTTCAGGGTTAGTGACCATGGTCTAAAGAACAGATATCCTGACATTTTGCTGGCAACTTCAGAGGCAGTGCCGGCAAAATGACAAGAAATCTATTCTCTAGACCACCGTCACTAAACCCTGAAGCCGGAAACTACCCAGCAGTCTTTTTTTTTTAGTAATTATATTAAATTTTTTAAAAAGATAAAAACTAACAAGTACAGTGATACCTCGGGATACGAACGCCTCTGCTTGCGAATTTTTCGGGTTACGACCAGCTCTGGCCCCAAAATTTTACCTCGGT